AAAAAAAAAAAATAGTACCTGGCGCCAGATGGATATCCACTCCACTCTTCGTGTCATAATTCTCACCAATTTCACGCCGGCTTACTAACTTTTTTCTATCACCTTTATTTTTATTTTTTTTCTCTTTTTTGCTGGTCTTATCCGAGGGTTCACAATTGCTCTTGTGTTGTCCCTTGGCCTTAGAACATTTAGAGATTTTTTTCCCATTGCTGCAAGGAATCAAATTGTCACCAGGATGTGGACTTGAGGATTCCATTGGAACAGCACGCTCATAAGAAGGATTCACTTCAGAACTACTACAAACTTTTGATGAAATAGGAATTCTTGAGTCTATCATGTTTGAACAGCATGAAGGACCGTTTGGAACTTTGAAGCTGCTACAGGTATTCGAATTCTTTTTTGTAAATGCAGTTGTAGAGGCATATTTACAGTAAGACACATCAACTACTTCCAGTCCAAATTCAGGTTGCATAGGTGCTTTAGCGCTACATGTGGTATTTGCACCAGCCAGCATGCTTTCCACACAGCAATGACCTAACTTGTGGTGCTTTTCTTTCTTCTTTCCTTTTTTGGATTTCTTTTGCAGGTATACAAGACTTGAACCATCTACAACAGGAACATCGGGCACAGAGTTTGTAAGACATTCCTGGCTTATTCTCTCCACTGGAACCATTGGAGCATCTTGCCTGCTTAGATCTTTCTCAAAAGGTGTAGCATCCAGAATAGAGTTTATAACTTCAGAATCTGGTGAAGTTCCAGGATCTGAACACCTGTTTTCAGTGGAAGCTATCAATTTATCTCCCTCCTCATGGCCTACAATCTTCGATAAACCAGAAGCACTTTTCTCTGAAGCATTCAAATCATGAACCATGCCACAGCTTTGATTCCCTATTTTAATTTTTAAAGTGATGCGACCAGTTGGAGGAAAGCTATCACAGACTGATTTTTTACTTGCTTTTGTCGTGATAGCACTCTTCTTTCCTTGCACACCTTTTACTCTTCTCAGATTTCTTTCACTACCAACATTAGGGTCATGACCACCAGTTTCTTTAAAATCTGGAAATATATTCCTAAGCAGTCCCCAAACAGAAGATCTTTCCCGCATGGGAAATAAAGTCCTCTGCCTTCTAGATACTTTCAAGGAATTCAAATCGAAAGCTGAATTTTTCTTTTCTGTCTTCCTAAAATTTCTTGATTCATTTTGGGGCTCGGATTTCTGCTTTGCTTTATTGTTGGTATTACGAACATTCTTCCTCCGAGAAGATCTGTAAACAATTAGGGGATGATTTGGTTTTTGGTGCTTATCATCGTCACAGAGAGCCTCAGCTTTACCATTCCTATCTCTAGATGGATCCTCAGTCCTGCGAAAATCATGAAAATCAGATCTACGAGGATCTTTTCCCTCATCAGCACTCTTTTCAGGTCGGTCAGTTTCCAAAATGGAACCAATGACATCAGCTGTAATAGTGTCATTGGCTATGTCGTTCTCCGATTCACAAAGCTCAGCAAATTTGATGGAATCAAAGGATGGAATAAGAACATCAGCCACTGAAGCATCTGAAGGGACTATTGCTGTAGGTGATTCATCAGCTCTCACACAAGAGGACTGATAAAGCACGGGAGAAATGCGTAACTTTCCAATGTCAAGATCAAGAGCAATCCCAGGCGACTCCTCCTTGATTTCACCAGCATTTTCACCAAATGATGTCTCAATAAACATATTATCCAGCTTACTGAGATTATTTAAATTTAATGAAAAACCTCAGCAGCTTTAATCGTACAACCCATAAAACATTTATTCCCTGGATCGACCACAGAACACGTCGAAAGTCCTGTCAAAAGAAACTATCAGCAAGAATACGAAAGAAAGAAAGACAAATTCCAACAATGGAAAAGACTTCAACCTGATAAACCTAACAGACATAATATTTCACGACTCTTCTCATTGCATGTAAAACTGTAACACTAAAATTACGTAAGTCTACCAAATACAAAATGATGTGAAATTTTAGCGTTATTTAAAGGAAAAATTATTCAATCACATACTCAAATTCATAAAATGCCTCCCAATCAAGCTTATATGCGCAAGAAAATGAGAAGGTGGCTACCTGAAACTATGTTTAACAACTTTATTAGAGGCAAAATAGGTCAAAAGGCATAGAATTCTATTAGTTGAGCTGAGTTCCACAAGCTTTTATGAAACACGGCTAGACAATAACTGATATTTCAAAATGTTCAATAACTAATGAACAAAAATAAGTCGCCCCTTCAAAGCTCCCTCCACCGCGTGCTTCCTCACACTTTCTTTTAAAATCATTCAATAACTAAAGGAACGATAAACGATAATTAACTGACCCCATACGAACTCTGACCTTAACATGCTTACACTTCCCCGATAAACATGATTGAACTGTAATAACATGCCTATACACGAACACATTGTCTATAATCATGATTGTAAGCATGCCAACATTGATTGAACACAAAATCGAAAATCAAAACGAGAGAATACAAAGCTAACAGTCCGATGTAGGTCGAAATCATACAAAAACTCAAAACACATGAATCCTCAACGCCAGCCCATATGAAACAGCGCCTCAAAAACCCTAACTGAAGCAAAATCAAAAACCCATTTACAATCAGAAAACGACAATGCCGATTCACGCAGACCCACAAATCTAAATTAACAATACGCTGCACAGAAAAGGGAGGGATAGTACCAAAATCAATCTACCACACGAAGAATTGTTCAATCAAATTATCAATAACACAAACACGTAAACATACCTATGCATACGACGCCTGTAGGGTTTGTATCTATACCTCGCCGCGTGTGTGTTTCGCCTTTTTCGGTTGAGAGAGATGAATTGCTTGGCGGTGTCAGCACGGTTGGTTTTAGAGAGAGAAAAGGAAAGGGGAACAAAATTTGGGGTGTTTTTTTTATCTATCATGTTGAGGCATAGCGCACAGGGAAGGTACAATTTTGATTGAACAATGTACAACACGCGATTAACTTATGTTGGGCCTCACCACGTGGCAACTGAGGGTATTAAGGGAATTTACACAAGTCAATGATTTTCTCTTTTACACCACTCAGCCCGTTTCATTGGACCTCTTCTTTTGCAAATTGCAAGTGAGTCCTTTTGTTGACTTACGAAAAAAATAGTTGTTGAAGGCAACATAATAAAGGGATTCTTTTAATTTAGTTATTATACGTACTTGCTGTGATCTAGGAAAAAATATGTACGAAAAAAGCTATGGAAGAACTCTATTTTATAGTACTTGTCTAATAAAAAGCTATCTAAGGTGCATATTAGATATTACTTTTATCCGGAAAATGCATTTGAGATGCTATAACATAATAACATTTATGTAAATAAGAACTGTTATTATTTGATATATATTATTTTTTGTTTTTTGTTTTCTCGTTAATCTGCAATATTGTGCACGCTTTCATGACATTTGACAATGAAATAAAAATAAAACAAAAACTGAAAGAATATGTGCTTCTTTTGTATTTTCCGTTTTTCTGTTATAACTGTGGTCACGTGTGGTCACGTGTGTGTGTTTTATAAACGCGTTTTCTGTGTACATAAATAATAGAGTGAAACGATGTCATATTGGTCTGCATGAGCATATTAATTAAATGCTCCATTTTCCCCTTTTCATGCAATAACAGAAAAAGCTTTTGGCTATGGCGATTTTTGCTTCCGCGTTCAATTTCACTTAGATTTCACATGGTACCAGAGCGCGCGAGCTTGGGAATCATCGCTTTCGTTCAAATCAAGCTTCATATATAGTCAATCAAAGAATCGCAGCTCGATCGATTGTCAGCCATGGCGCAACGCGATTTTGCAGGGGGAAGTGGGAAACAGGATCCGTTTTCACTTCACGGCTCCGATAATCCGGGTATGATGCTTGTTACAAATCCTCTTACTGGTAACAACTTCCTGTCATGGAAAAGGTCAATGATTATCGCTCTGGGAGCTAAAACTAAGCTCGGATTTGTAAATGGTAAAATAGTCATGCCGGATGAGGATGATGATGAATATGTTGCTTGGAAAAAGGTCGATTGGATGGTATTATCATGGATTTTAAGTTCAATGTCGAAAGAAATAGCTGAATCTTTTTTGTATGCTGATACTTCAAAGGAATTATGGCAGGATATATGTGAACGTTTTGGTGAAAATAATGGACCTATGAAGTATAAGGTCCAAAGAGATCTCTGCAATTTGAGTCAAGGAAACAACACGGTCATGGAATATTTTGGTAAACTCAAGAGACTATGGGATGAAAATGCTTGTTTGAGACCTCTTCAGGTGTGCAAATGTGAGAAAGGAAAGATTATAGCTCAGCAGGAATCTGAAACTAAGTTGATTCAGCTTTTGATGGGGCTTAATGAGGTTTATGATAATGTGAAAAATCAGATTATGATGATGAAGCCTTTACCAACAGTGAACAAGGCATACTCTATGCTTCTCACAGTTGAAAGACAGCGAGGAGTGCAGAATGAAAGTGGAAATAAGATGGACAGTGTAGCTACGATAGCTAAGACAAGTTATGGAAAAGGAAATTTCTCAGGAAAAAAACTGGGTTTTTTATTGTTGTGGCAACCATGAATTCTCAGTGCTACCACAAGCTTTGGATTCTACACACTGAGGAAATTGCTGATTTTACACCCAACCACCATGCAGATACCTCATTGCCTTTACCTACTACCACAATCACTGATGCAAGAAGGAGCACAAGGGAAAGAAATCCACCTTGCTGGCAAAAAGATTATGACTGTAATAGTGTTACCAGTAGTACTTTATTGCCTACTGAGTTGTTCTTTGGGAATATTTCTCTAAAAAATGAACCAGTATACTTTGGACAAGCAAAAACACATCCTTCTTGGGTTAAAGCCATGGAACAAGAACTACAGGCATTAGAGCACAATGGCACTTGGGAACTCACATCTTTACCCCCAGGCAAGAAAGCCATTGGCTCTAAGTGGGTTTATAAGATTAAAAGAAATAGTGATGGTACAGTTGAAAGATTCAAGGCTCGGTTGGTAGCCAAGGGTTATAACCAACAAGAAGGGATAGATTTCTTTGACATTTTCTCACCTGTTGCTAAACTGGTTACTGTGAGGATTTTTATTGTTGTGGCAACCATACACAAATGGAATCTCCATCAAGTAGATGTCAACAATGCCTTCCTCCATGGACATTTAAATGAGGAAGTCTATATGGTTCCACCTCAGGGGTACTTCAAGGCAAAAGCTGGAGAGGTTTGTAAACTCAAAAGGAGTCTTTATGGACTCAAACAAGCATCAAGAGAGTGGAACAAGGAGCTTACCCATAAACTTTCTCTCTTTGGGCTCAATCAGTCCTACCATGACCATTGCTTATTCACTCTCAAGAAATGCAGTAGCTTCATGGCCATCCTCATTTATGTTGATGATGTGCTTCTTACAAGTAATGATGACAGGTTAGTAACTGATTTGAAACAATTTTTGGATAGAGAGTTTACTATCAAGGATTTAGGAGTTGCAAGGTATTTATTGGGTGTGGAAGTGCTCAGAACTGAGACAGGCACCACATGAGTCAGAGAAAGTATGTCCTTGATTTACTTGATGATATGCATATGATGAATTGTGCTACAGTAACTACTCCTTTACCTTGTGGGCTTAAACTTCAATCTGGTGAAGGGACACCAATGACTGAACCTGATTTATACAGAAGAGTTATAGGCCGACTGCTTTACTTGAATCTGACTAGGCCTAATATTACCTATGGTGTCCACCAACTCAGTCAATTTGTTAATGCCCCTTGCTCTTCACACTTGAATGCAGCCCTGCACATTCTGAAATATCTAAAGGGAACTATAGATCATGGACTTTCCTTCTCTCAAGCCAGTCCTTTCACTCTCTCTGCTTACTGTGATGTTGACTGGGCATCTTGTAAAGACACTCGACAATCAGTCACAGGGTATTGCATCTTCTTTGGTGGCAAACCTGATTTCTTAGAAGACCAAGAAGCAACAAACTGTCTCCCGCTCATCTACTGAAGCAGAATACCGGGCTATGAGCACCACTGTCTCCGAATTGCAATGGATTACTTATATCTTGTCTGACTTTGCCATCACTGTGCCTTATCCTATTCCATTGTGGTGTGACAACAAAGCCGCTATTCACATCTCAGCTAACCCGGTGTTCCACGAGCGCACCAAACATCCAGAGATCGATTGTCACTTTGTGCGTGACAAGTACAAAGCAGGGTTTGTTATTCCCTTGCATGTTTCGACCAAGCTACAACTCGCTGATGTGTTCACAAAGGTTCTGCCTGGGCCTCAAGCGCGCCTTTTGCTG